CCTTGCGGAAATGACGTTCGCCAATGTATACGTCCGTAGGAATGGGTAGAGCGTTGAAGGTGCTCTCAGTAAATTCTGTGAAGCCGACCCAGTTAGCTTTGTTGAAGTTAACGAAGGTGCGGTTGTCCACAGAAACGAAATCGACAGGTTTCTCGATCGAGATAATTATGAGCAGATGGTCTGATGCGAGAGTTTGCATAGGTCGCCAGGTTATGCTATTTATCAGACCACCACTAGCGATTGTGATATCGGGCGAGCTACTACAGGTGCCCATAACTCTGGTGGGGGCTTCGTCATTCATTGTGCAGAATGTCGAATCGTCAATCTGTTCCGCCAGCTCCATCCCCCTACGGTCATTTGATAGACAGGAATGCTAAAGATCGTGGTGCGCGTTAAAGTCGCCTAGCACCAAACGGTTTTCACCACGAAGTAGCGCACCTATATTCGGGTGATATCCTGTAGGGCAACATGTAACTGGGGGGATGTATATATTAAATATTTCGAGCTCGACATCGCCTGACCGGATTGCTATGCCCTGACATTCTAGGGTAGTATCCCTGCGGTCGATGTCTTCATCGATTAGACGATACTGCACGGTGTTGTGCAATATGAAGGCTATGACTTTACGTATGACTTTGAAACCGGCACAACTCAGGAGGTCTGAGTGCCTGTTTAGCTTCTTTTCTTGGACCGCAGCTATCGATACGCGCCCCCAATTCATAAGTGCAACTATCTCCTCGATCTTACTCTGGAGTCCGTTGCAGTTGAATTGAAGTAGTAGTAGTAGTAATATAATAGCGTATTATATTTACCTGATTGCTTATATGACATCATTATAAAGTTTGAAAGAAACTATTTTGTTTAATTATATTAAAAATTTTCAATAGCGAAAACACACCGATTTTAATTAAGGCACGCGGATATAGTATAATAAAAATTTTAATTCCATTGAAATCAATATACCGTTAACACAGAAGTAACCAAACCAACATTTTTTCTATAATACTAACGTGTTACTCCATTATTAAAATATATAGTATAACCTTAATTGAGCGTGGTCCTAAGGACCCACCCCACCCCTTTCCGCATTTGTTAATACTTTCAACCATCGATCCGAAACGAGTCCTATGTAAAGTAACCCAAATGTATATAAGACCTACCATTTTGATTCGTTGGGTTATTACTGCCTTCCTTTTGTGCTTATTTTCTTCGTCGTTTGACAGTTCATATTCAGTAATTTCAGAGAACGTATAATATAGAGAAGATTCAACTACGGACAAGCGTGTGAACTGTCAAGAGCCATGAATTTTCTATTAGTGGATTTCACCACTTTTGGCTCGGCAGCAGAAACTTTAACAGAAATGAGTGAACAGAGCTGAGAATTCAATGAGAATTATGCTCTGAAATATACATTTCTTTTACAGGCGCCTGTTGACCTTTTGGCTTATATTTTTATACGTTTACATGCTATCATATCAATTGATATGAATATGATTTTGCTAATTTTTGTGAATTCATGCAAAATTGATAACATTATCTTTAATTTATGCAATTTTAAAAGCAATATTTGTAGTTGATGGCCATATTAAATATTTCTTATCTTTGATAATTTAATATAATTTCATATGTGATATATAATCAGAATATCATAAAAAACTTAATATTTTACAACAAAAATATTACAACAATAATTAATTAATTTATGCAATTTTAAAAGCAATATTTGTAGTTAATGGGCATATTAAATATTTCTTRTCTTTGATAATTTAATATAATTTCATATGTGATATATAATCAGAATATCATAAAAAACTTAATATATTACAACAAAAATACATATATATAAATCGCACATTTCTACGAAACATCCTAGCAGAAACTATGCTGACGCTAATTGCTGTTGAGGTACTGTGCACTTTTCGGAATCCATGCTGGTGGCTGATTAGGCTCAGGTGGTGAGTGAAGGTCTGGAGTAACAAGGCCTCAAGTGTCTTCACTACTGGGGAGAGGAGAGTTATCGGTCGATTTTTCTCAAAACTATGTTTTTTGAGCTGGTGCGTTCGATCTGTGTGAACTCGTTTCGCGTTCGTTCTTCACACAGTGAACCTGTGCCACAGGCAAGCGGAACATTTCTTGCAATTTATTTCTAATGTAGCTTTTATCTATTTCTTTGTATTTCGTTAATAAGTTATTCCAACTTTTATTTTTCTCAGTTTTATTCTTATATTTATCACTTTTAGTTTGCCAAATTGCTAATTAATTTTTTATAAGATCTATAAGTTCTGAAACGAAATCTTTATTAATGGGGTAGCGTGCTTTAGAAGCTTCAAACAATCGATTTATTTTTTTTGTTTAATTCTCTTTAAAAACTATCTAAGGATATGTCCCCAAAGTTATAGATGGTAATTCGAAATATAATATTATCGAAAACTTTGCCGCGTGGTTTTTCGGTTTTTACTTTTTACGATTTTTCTTAATTGGCGACTAAACGTCGTATGGAAAATCCGCAAAGTTTGTTATCTTTGACATTAAAGTATCTAATATTTAAACTATAATAAATAATCTAAGAAAAGTCAAGTTTGAACATATTTTTAAACAACATTAAGTAAAATTTCTTTTGGAAAAAACCACTTTTTCAATTTTTAAATTTTATTTTTTTTTTTTTGGAATTTTCTTAGTTTAACTAGAACACAAGTTATTAAACAATTTAAATCTCTTAGAACTTTTTGTTTCTGATAGAAATTGCGACCTGCATCCGAAAAATGCACATGCGAAATGYATCGGCGAATTGCTTCCCAAAGGCAGAATATCAAAGATGTTCAAATATATAACTATAAAGCCTAGAAATTTCACTTGAATCAATTATTTCCCTCCCAAAGAAATAGATTTTTTGAAGCCCCTCCCTTAATACTTACCATTGTTCGTCCGCGATTTTCACTGTTCGGCAACACGAGAGAAATGAACACCGATCGCAAAAACTCAAAAATTTTCGCGAACATGGATCGGTACGGGCACAAGCCCATACACGAGTAAACCGCAAGCGCATACATACCCATCGAACGCACTTGTGTGTCGTGTATGGGCACTTTAACTCGAAAACCGCTCAGTAKATTTTAATGAAATTTATACAGCTTTTAGAATACATAATATGCTCGGGCCTGATCGAAGAATTTTTATTTTTTCAAAGATTTCGATTTTTTAAAACCAATTAATTGTTGATTTTTCCCAAAAATTTAGAAAAATTGTTGAGGCCGCCATTTCGTTAATTTTTGAAAGAACGATTTAATAGCAGAAAAAAATACTGAATATTCTCATTTTTTGTGGCAACGCCACAATCTAACCTTTTTAACAATGAGGGTAAGATTTAAAAATCACATAAATTTTCCTAAAAAGTAATGAAATAAAAGTGTGAACTTATTTTTATGTTTAGAGTGTATGATGTGAAAARGTTTAGTGAAACATTGAGAAATGTTATGTAATATTGATATAAATTTTTGAATTTTTAATCGGAAAAATTTAAAAAAAAGTGTTAGCAACATTATTTTTGCATATTCTTCTTCTGGAGAAGCTGTCCTATCAGCACGTATCCCATTTATACCAAAACTTGTGTTTTGGTAATCGGCAATCGGAAAGTAATCAGAATCGTGGCTCCATTCGTGGCGCATGATTCTTGTTAATGTGATAATAAACAGTTTGAATGTGACATTTCCAACAACGGAAAGCAAAATGGATATTTTTGTTTTGTCTCAAAACTGTTTTCATAATTCAGAAAATCTCAAAAAATACCAGATACTTAACGGTGGTTTCCAACCTTTAATTTTAATTAAATAAATTTGAAGTGAAAAATGTGCATAAATTGTGGTAAATGCAGTGATTTAGCTTGTGGAAATGTTCAAATTTTGAAGTCGAATATCTCGTAAACTAAGCGTTTGGTGTACCAATAACCGTATATATATCAGTAGGACTTCCTCTTTCCAACGGTATTTTTAGATCGCGGCGCCAACGAAATCGAAATTGTTCCAAATAATTCTATGTGAAAACTAATATGTTATTTATTTCCTGTCATTCGGATATTATTTGCTTTCTTTTTTCATGGTAAACAGGATGGAAAAAGTAGTAGATAACCACATAAGATCAGAAGAGCTAAAAATAGCACCCCTACAATCAATCGTGCTGGATTGTGATTTGTGCTTTTGATAATGCGTCTTACATTAGCGTAATCAAGGCACTTGAGAAAAGGAACGTAACGGCTCCAGTATGCAGATGGATAGAAGAACTACTGCGTACTAGGGTAGCGAAAACAACGGTGCGGGAGAGCAAGATCCACAAGAGGATACCCACAGGGTGGAGTACTATCCCCTCTGCTATGTAGCCTGGTAGTAGATGAGCTCCTTGAGGTGTTCACCAGCARTGGAAACCGTTGTCAGGGGTACGCGGATGGCACTATCATAATGGCGCGAGGTAGATTTGAGAACACTCTCTGTGACTTTGTTCAAAGGGGCTTAAATCTAGCACAGGGATGGTGCAACACGGTATGGCTAAGAAACAACCCGGCAAAAACTACCGTGATCCCTTTCACTAATTTTAATAGCTGCAGCAAGTATTTCCTTAACTTCGTATTGCTTTCGTACTTCGACCACCTTCTGTGTAGGCAGCCCCAAAAAATTTCAAAATCGTTAAGATCTGGAGAATATGGTGGCCAGGTCATGACATCAACGTTTGGACTAGAAATAAACGACTTTACTACTCGAGGGTTATGAATAGGAGCATTATCTTGTAGAAAAATCCAAGGAATTGTCACAAAAATGTTTTAAAGCGATCGCCGTTCACCTTCTGATAATTAAAAATCAAACGTGATGTCCACACCATGATTTCACTTTATCGGCTGTGATGGCGACTTGAATATAGCTCCTCCGCAAATTTTCATCATTAAAGATAACTGAACGCCAATCATTAAGTCGAGTGTCAGATTGAACAGTCAACATCCGTCGATTGCAAGGCTTTTGGTGCCCATACCACCGCTCCATAAGTTATAATTGGTCGCACYATCATAGTATACAACCATCTGATAATCCTTGGTTTGCACCCCCAGGATCTACCAGCCAGCCGGTTGCACACCATTAGTGCCTTTGTGGCTTTGACTATGGTCAGGTCGATGTGCTGCTTCCATCTCAGCGTGGAATCCAGCGTGABACCTAGGTATTTGACCATATTTGTCATCACTATCTCTCTGCCTCCGAGCGTTAAGTTCCTTAGGCTCGGCAGAGACCTGCGCCTCGTAAACGGGACGATGGTCGTTTTCAAGGGGTTGATGTTTAGTCCGACACTATTACACCAATCCTTGGCTAGACCTAGTCCTCTTTGTACGAGATCGCAGAGAGTACTCACAAATTTTCCTCTGGCTATATTAACAATGTCGTCCGCATATCCTTGACAGCGGATTCCATTGTTAGTCAACAGCACCAGCAGCTCGTCCACGACTATGCTCCACAACAGGGGGGATAGCACGCCTCCCTGTGGGCAGCCCCTTGTAGTACCGAGACGAATACTGGTGCCTCCTGATGTGGTTTCAGCTATTCTGGTGCGCAGTACCGCCTCTGTCTCTTATACACATCTAGATGTGTATAAGAGACAGGTCCACAACAGGGGGGATAGCACGCCTCCCTGTGGGCAGCCCCTTGTAGTACCGAGACGAATACTGGTGCCTCCTGATGTGGTTTCAGCTATTCTGGTGCGCAGTACCGCCTCTATCCACCTGTGCATTGTAGGTGCCACATTACTTTTCTCCAGCGCCCTTACTACGCTCCCGTGGGACGCGTTGTTGAAGGCACCTTCGATGTCTAAGAAGGCGCATAACGTCACCTCCCCGGAGTCCAGCGAGCTCTGTATCTCCGAGGTTAGCTGGTAAAGGGCGGTGTTCGTCGATCTGCCTGCTCTGTACGCATGCTGATTTGCATGCAGGGGCGCAGTTATAAGAGCCTTCGATCTTATTTCCTGGTCTMTGATCTTTTCCATGATTTTTAGCAAGAAGGAGGTTRRACTGATCGGTCTAAAGGATTTAGCCAGCGAATAGTCTTGCCTTCCCACCTTCGGGATAAAGATCACCTTAGCTATCCTCCAGGGTTCAGGRATGTACGCCAGCGCCAGGCTATCTCTCATCACATGTACAAGGTGTGGCAGTAGAGTCTGCTCACCTTGTTGCAGAAGTGCCGGGATGCATTGTCAGCGATTCGATGGAAATGAAATTGAAATTAAATCGAATATGTGATCGCCGACCTTGTTTGTTTGTAGATTTTGTTGTAATGCGTTGACTTATTGACGATGCTATACAAATCACTTCGATTATACTTTTGCTGGTGTTGTTGTCAAGCGCTTTCGGAATACTTCCTTCATTCTATTTAACCAAAACAATTGCAACTTTTTTTAATATTGAAAAAAGAAGATATTTCGATAAAAACTGATTAAAAAAAAATTAATGAATTTTTTTCCTTTCTTTCTTGCCGCTACTCTTACCGCAAGGGAAAATGTACGACGCACTTTACTCACGTATGGTGCCCAAGCCGGATCTCAGCCAGAGCATGGGTTTAACCTGACTGATGTACTTCGACACATAATGAATTGACCCACTGTAAATTGCAACGGTATATTATAACTGTGCACAAAAATGTAGCACGTTTGTTTGAGTGACAAACTTAGATACTTTTACTAAAATTCGGCTGTTTAATGAATTCTATTTTGAGTGTGATGGTGCTTGGTAATTAGGGACACCAATTTATTTTTATTGAATTTGTATTATTTTAACGCAAAAACTTGCGGTAAGTTGTGTAAATCATTTGTATATCAACTAACTATTCAAATTCAAATAATAAAACTGTTAGATATGGGTCGAAAAAGGAGTTGTACTCCAGAATTGAGGAAAATTATTATTTACCAGTACGTGAAGGAAAAAATGTCCAATAGAGACGTAGCCAAGGAACTTTTGTGCTCAAAATCAATGGTTCACAATGCTTTGATTCATTACGAAAGTACAGGAAGTACAGGGAATAAAATAACAAAAAAACTAACCAGAAAAACTACTTCAAAGGAAAAAAGGTTTGAAAGGCTAATCCTTTTTAAAGTTCCAGGCAAATTCTCGGATAAAGGATCAACTGACCAACGATGTTTCGACACGAACAATCAGACGTCGTCCATCAGAACCATCAGACGTCAGCCGTCTTCTTGAAAATGGGGTACGGGGTTTTTCGAAAGAAAAAACCGCACGTATCAAACAAAAACTTGAAAAGTCGTATTAAGTTTGCAAAGGAGCATATCGGAAAACCCTTAGATTTTTGGAAATAAATACTGTGGAGCGATGAATCCAAGTTTAATTTGTTTGGTTCAGATGAGACACAATTTGTTCGACGCCCACCAAACAAGGAATTTAACCCTCGATACACTTTAAAAATGGTTGAGCATGGTGGAGGCAGTGTTATGGTTTGGGCTGCATTTTCGTGGTACGGTGTAGGTCCTATTCGACGGATATCCCAAAGAATGGACCAACATTTATGTAAAGATATTTTGTCGAGTACAATTTGCAGAGGAACACATGTCTGAACCATACATTTTTATGCAGTATAACGACCCCAAGCACTCTGCTAGGAGTGTTAAAACGGAGCTTTCGTCCGAAAACATTACGGTTTTGGATTGGCCTGCCCAGAGTCCGGACTTAAATCCAATCGAAAACCTCTGGGGAGATGTTAAAAGAGGCTTGGGGAAAAAATCAAGCAAAAATGCTGACGAATTATTTCAAAAAGTCAAGGAAATATGGCTGAGTATATCAATTGAGCGATGTCAGCGTTTGGTCGGTAGTCTGCCTAGAAGATGGAAAGCTGTGCTTGAATCAAAAGTCTATCCGACAAAATACTAAYTGAAAACATTAATTTATAATCAAATTTTAATATTTTTAGTATTATTTTTAATATACTAACCAAAGATCTGAAGCGTCCGTAATTAGTGGACCAAGCCAAAATAGATATCTATAAATGATTAATTTTTTGTTGAATTGAACAAATTTCTTTCGATAAATTTTCAATAAATCTATATCTTAGATGATAACAAATATTGTATCTTAAGTTTAAAAATAAAAACTTTTAAATTATAAAATAAACCAATGTTTTAAAAAAGAACGGAGTGTCCATAATTATGTGACCATGTATATATATGACTGATATGAGGACATTCATAATTCTTTTGCGGTGTCGAAAAGTTACATATAATTATGTTTTTATATGAGGTTGTCAGAGGGAATCTGACGTTTTTTCTACCTTTATGGGGGTATTGGAAAATTGTGGCTCTAGTGGTACTCGTACAACGTACCGGCCATTATTTAACCGAGTAGTGGTCTATTAAACCCGTGGTTCTTTGTGGATAAGTGCCTCTTTGGAGTGAGTTGCGATATCTGCTGTAATGAATCATTGAATGGTTTTTTTTTTGTGACAATATAAACAATTAAATTTGTTTTTGCAATTTTTAAGATTGTGCGCATTGGACAAGCAGTTTGTACAGAGTCTCTTTGATCTAACAAAGTTGTTCCTTTCGTTAATACTTAATTTTTTAAACTTCTTGCAAGTTTTAAGCTTATACCCTCTTGAGCATAGTTCACATAACGTATGTTTTCTCTGTGAACTATTGTGTTTTGTTAAAAATTCGGTTTGATTTGTTTTTGCTTCTCGCTTGGGGTCTGCTTAAGAGGAGAGCCTGATTTAGAAGCTTCAAAAAGCGATTTTTTTATGCTTAAATCTCTTTAAAAATAATCTAAGAATATGTCCTCAAAGTTTTAGATGAGAATTTTCGAAGCTAGAAGGAAAATAGTGACCGAGTCAGCAGATACACTTGTGCTCATACAATTAAGCCACATAAACGTTATGGTGTACAAATTCATAAAAGTTGAATTTTATTGATAAATC